TTTTGTGTCATCACTGAGTCACAATAATGAGCACAATACAGAGAAGCTGGTGGATATTATAGATTTTTAGAGAAACCATTGACTAGACATAAACACTTTGAACTGTCACAGGGTTAGTAATCGGCTTGTTTTTCATCATTAATCCTCTTTATATTAAAAATAGCAGCGGTCTCCCAGAAGCCGTATGCCAGTTCAAGCTACTGGGTCAGAGTATGATTGTACAGACAGTATTGCATACGAAGTCATGCTGATAGCCATAAAACACATGAGTTCCAGATGTGTTTCTTATGTGGCTAGAAGGGTATTTATTGCTCCTCTGACTTGAAACCAGTCTGTGGTGCATGTCCATCATCTGTATGGTGTTATAAAAAGTAGCTTCAAAGTAAATGATTGAAAAAATGCTCTTTTCCTCAATAGGATTGTAAACCCCTTTACTATGCTTAAGATCTGTAGTTATTTTTACTGTTTTATCCAGCAAAAATCATCAGCCCAACTCAGAACTGCTTCCTCCAGATGAATATGTTTATGCAGAGTCACTGTTGTTATAAAGTGAGGATGCAAAGAAATTTTACTCTGCACTTTGAAATAAATTATTTGGACAATTGACACAGGAGGTTATGTGATAAGTATTGTTTAACTAATTTAAATGTTTTGCAGCTAGTGATGTTCACAGATTTTCTTCCTAACTGTGGATAAACTTCAAGAAAGATAATTTCTTTTAATATTTCAGTGTAAAGAAACCTGACTAGTGTAATTTTTTCAGAAAAATGGAATCTTAGAGAACAGTTCATAAATACAGAGCATGCAAATGTGAGGCACCAGAGTGCAGCGTTCAGGGTAGTTACTAATGCTTGACATTAGGAAAGTAAGTTGGAGTGTTTTACACAGGAAATTATGTACATCATAGGTACTGTGAACTGACTGATAGAGCTGTTAGGTGAGACTCCCAACTGTCGGAACGGGACAAGAAAAGAAAAGGAAATAAAGAAGTATGTTATGTATGTTGAATAGATGACTGGTCCTAATTAAGTACTACCTTTGTCTTGCTATGTAGCAATTTAGTTCGTGATTGCAGAGCAACTCCAAGTATAAAACCTCTTTTTTCCTGGAGAGCTTCACGTAACTGTTCTTCTTTTCTCTCACCTTGATGTGTCACTCCTGCTGTGGAAAATTTGTTCTGGTTTTGGTTGCTATTTCAGTGCTTTCATTTGAGGTAAGATGGGGTGATGAGTACTCAATGGAGAAAAAGCTCGTTGTGTTAAATAAGTATCTCTATATGATAGGTCCCATCATCAGCATAAATTATTGTGCATTGCAAATGCTTCTTCTAGTATTGTCTGAAACAGCTTCAGTGGCAGAGTCAGTTCTTCATTACAGATAATGCGGTTCAGGCTTTTTAAACATCACTCAGAACATAAAATACCAGAAACCCTAGTTAGAAAACAATATTTTTGTGTTGTGGTTGTTATGAAAATACAGAAAAATGTAAATGCACATATAAACATCTCCCTTGTGTGCTGCTTGTTTTTGCAGGCACTATACTGGTTGACAATATGCTGATCAAAGGAACGGCAGGAGGGCCGGACCCCACCATTGAGCTCTCCTTGAAGGACAATGTTGATTACTGGGTGATCCTGGATCCCATCAGCCAGAGGTTATACCTAAATAGCACTGGCCGAGTTCTGGACAGAGATGTAAGTTTGGTGTTTGCTGTTTGTTTTCTTTTCTCCCCGTAGACAGGAATTTCTGAATCTGTGTATGCTCACGTAAAGGCTGTAAACACAAGACCTGCTAGAATATGATAGCTGCATCTACCTCTTGTCCCCGGGTGGATGTAAACAGAGTTAATTTGATTCTTTATTAAGACTTATTGGGAGCGTGCAGAAACGTGACCACTTCTGCACAACAAATATGTGGACAAACACCACCGTAAAGACTGAATAAATAGATGTGGGCATTGGCAGATGCATCTATCGACCCAAACTTGACTTGTTTACTGGATTAAAAACAGTTTTTATTCTGGTTTGCTGCTTTTGTCTGGAAGGAGAAGTGCTGCTCACCTCATGTCCCGTGATACTAATTAAAAGCCTGTTCTAGCTGTGTACATTGACTTATGAGATGTGAGAGAGAGCAGAGGAATTGTGAATTTTGCAATTCACTTACAAAGCTTGACATATTCAATTGAAAAAATGCTTCTTTAGGTTCTTTTTCTTTTTTTTTGTTTTATAAGGCAGCATAAAACTCCTGTGGTATTTTCATTCCTAAAAGGATTAAAGAAATATTGTCAGGCTAAGTTTGATTTTTTTTTTTCTAAAAAGAAGTGTTTTCATCTATGCTAATTTTGTTCAAGAGAAACTCTTTAAAAATAGAGACGTTTTCTCAGCGTTACAGCATTGCTGCGGTTCATCAGAAGCTGAAAGGAGAAATAACTCAGAAGTGACTGTAATCAATGTGGAGAGAGTGCTTTAAAGATCAGGAGTGCTCCTTGGAGTGCGTGAAATTTTGTTTTGTATTTGCTTGATTGATTAATTTGTCGTCTTCATGGATTTCAAGGTACATTCATAAGTACCAGAAACAACATGCAAATTTGTCCTCATTTCCATTTTTAGTTTGAGAGCTAATTGAATTCAGCTGTTCTTAATTTAGCGTTAATTCACAAACTGGTTTTGTGTGTGAGGCAGAGGTGTACAGCGCAAAACGTGGCAGAATGGACGAGGAACTAATAGACTTCTCAGTGCATCAGCAGGGAGGTGGCATCGCCTCAAGTGCCAAACAGCCGCCTGCCTTTGAGGTGACAGGCAGGTGCTGGAACGTTTTTGGCTTCTCAGTTTTATTTGGAAGTCAGAGCAAAAAGCATGAGCCCTTAATGAGAAAGGAGAGCCTTAGGAATCACCCTAGGGAATGTAGGGTCAGTTCTTCATCAGCCCACGGAAATCTGCATATCTGTATAGCTTTATGAAGCAAAATTAAGTCCTGTTAGATCAGTGCTATTTCTTTTTTCAGTCCCCATTTTAGTGGCACTTTTCTCCCTACAGGTTTGCTCATCTGAGCTGCTTTACCTTAATCTAACTAGATGCTTTACCAGAACAACCTTGACAAATTATTTGATTTCTGATATTAGTAATAGTCTAACTAAACTCACAAATACTTGACATTATTAAGAATACATATGGATGCTTTACAGTGATGTTCTTTGCAAGAAGTAGACTCGAGTACCAAGGAAACAAGCAGAAGGTGTACATTTTAATAATTACATATAGGTAATATCGGTGGCTTTACATTGGTATTTAAGGGGTTATTTCTTCATTTTTTTACTATGAACTGTAACACTTCTTATCTCTAGTACTGTTGTGCTGGGTAAAATTAATTGACGTTTATTTAAGTTTATTGGGATGTGAAAAGAAAATCTGAGATTTAAGGTAATGGAGATTTTGGGTGTGAGCCCCACTGTAGCTGTCTTCTGTGGTCTCAGTGAACTGCTGTAAGTTACAAGCCAAAGAAAATTAAAGTAATCCACAGAAACCTCACTGATTGAGTACAAATGAGAAATTGTGTAGCATGTACTTGATTAATATGGCTCTTACCTTAAGGCTGTTGCCAGCTTTCAGAACCAGAGATATACAAACCCATAAAATGCAGAATCATTCAAAAGCGTGTGCGGTTCCTTTCCCCTTCTCCCCCCCCGCCATCCTTCAAGTTAAAACCCCGTGAAACTTAGTCGTACCAGGAAAATTCGGGATTTTATTAAGTTGAACCTTAAAATTCAATTTGCTGTTACAGAGCAGAGATTGTAGTCTCTGGTTCACAAATTGTGCATATACAATTGCATTCAATATATTTGGATACTTTTCCCATTTTTCTCTCCAGTGTGCCCACTTGTCAACTCCCTTCTGATTCACATGGCTTGATCCTGTTCTTTTTTATTACTTTTCTCAAAAGAAAATCCTATTGGATTCCATCAATTGATTTTACTAAGAATGGCATGGTGATTTCCAGACAAAACCAGATAAAAAGAAAATTTCAAACTTTTCTTGCAGAATTTTAACTACTAAGGAAGGATGAATAGGAGCAAGTCAGAACTGAAGGTGGAAGGAACTGCTAAATGGTGTTGGGATAATTTGTCCCCAGTATCATAAATGATTTGTTACGTTGTACCATTACGCATTTACATTTATTGTCTGTAAATGCCAAAATTGATGCATGTTTATTTAAAGGTCTGATTTTAAATGTAAGCACTGACCCAGCAGAAATTGTATGTATGTATGTACGAAAGTGAAAGTGTACTTTGTTCTGTTTTACCAAGGACAACAATCTATTTGTTCCCATGTTTTTATGAAAAAGACAAAATCCAGAATACCATGGATTTATGTATCTGTCATGGCGACTAATTCTGTGTTTCCTGGGCATTGCTGATTAACTCTAAATGAACTCAGTAGCATTTGAAGTTTATTAAAGGTGGCCTGAAAATTATTGGATCTTTTATAAAGAACGTCAGCTTGAAAAACAAATGGCAATTATACTGGTGGAGGCTTAATTTAAGTTATAGATGGTATTTGGCATGTTCCTACCTGTGTTAGAAGTTCCACTGATGAAAGCAGAAACGCATCATAGCTGGCTGCAGATTTTTACAGCAAAGAGAATGGAGTTTTAGTTAAAAAGCTCGTGCTGTGCTTCACTGCAGGTAAAGTTGAGGGTTTTTTGAAGAAGAGATAGTTATAAAGCGCTATAAAGCCACCTTCTTTTGCCAAATCTGCTGACTCTTTAAGCACTGATTTGTGCCAGAGTCTGATAGGTAAAGGAAGCCATATGGTTCTAAAACCCATTATAGCGCCACTGGAAAAAAAAATCAATCAAATTAATTGTAGCATTTAGAATGAGTAAAAGGGTAATTATGTAGATACATAATTATGGTATAATTGTAAGTCTCAGAATCTCAGGATAAAAACCTGTTTGCATTCACTGTTCCACAATAGTATGGCATAAACATCTTTAAATTATGTTTTTGAGTTGTTTAATCTCTTGAAGACTTTCAGATTAAAAAATAGGGGTTTTGTTTCATTTTGTCCCTTCTCATGCTTGCTCACTCTCTGCTGAATGTTAAATTTTGAGTTGGGTTTTTGACAAGTGACTAAACTTGTATGCAGTCTAGTGTTATTATGGAGAAACACAGCACCTTTGCAATTCACCAATTCTGGTTGCTTTTGTTTAATACATCCAGATGGTGACAGTACACATCCAAATTAATGGTTTGGTCCCTTGGAAGCAATGCAAAATACACGACTTGCTTGGAAGCAATGCAAAACACACGATGCCTTTGAAATCCCACCAGACTGGCAGCAAACCTTCCTTAGGTGAAGATCTGCTCTTGAACTGCTTTGACAGTTCATCACATTTATTCCACCCTCTATTTTGTTTGTCATTGCTGTAGACAATCCATTTTTCATCACCTGTTGCCATATTTCAAAAATGGATCATTTTCTTCACGTTCCAAGAGAAAATCACAGATGTTGATGTGCTTAGTGAGATGCATTTCTTTGAGCTCCTGTGGTACCCAAATAGCGAGCTTCCTAACATATCCAAGTTGTTTTAAATGGTTTTCATATGTTAAGGTTATCAGCAACCTCTAGTGTCATTAACTGGATTCAGTCAATGCCTTTATTTTGTCATTATCAACTTTGATTTGCCTTCCTGAGCGTGGTGCATCTTTAACATCAAAATCATGGACCAAAATTTAGCAAACCAGTTCTGGCACTGCTGCAGTTTTAAGGCATCTTCACCATACGCATCACATAACTTTTTATGAGCTTGCACAGCATTTTTGTCATTTCTGGAAGCAATACAGCAAAATATGATGAAAATGTTCCTTTAATTTTTCCATTTTGAAATCAATGCCAAATAAATAAATGAAATTGTGCACTTTCTTTTTCTAAAACTAGGCTGGACTGTCAGCTTTCAAGGTACATAATGCAGTTGTGTGTATGTCCATCTATTTTTTTTTATTTAAAGAAAACACAAACAAGAACACAATGACTTGTTGACCAACCCAATACAAGGTCAAACCAGACTTGCTGTCAATGTTTAACATGCCAGACTCTTGCTTCAGATCTGCAAATTGACACTTGCAATGGTGGGAACATTGTGCATAGAAGTCATGCTGGAATGATGTATTTCCATAGCAGTCTTTCTACATTTCCATTTCAACCAAAAGTGCCTTTTAGTTTATTCTTAGAATTGTTTTATTAACTCGGGTGAGTAGTAGCAGCGTTTTGCAGCTTTAATTTATTTACCCATTCGTCAAGATTGGGAGTTGTTTTTAATTGGATATTCCGATGTTAACCAGAGTAAAAGCAACAAGACATCAGATTGTCTGTGCTTAAAGGTGACCAAGTTGTTTCTAAATTACTTGGTAAATGTAAGTGGTAGCATGTTGAATTTATTTCTGACTTGACCTTTCAGTTCCAATATTAATAAACCAAAGGTTGAAATGTGTGACATTTCTAGGTATCTTTCAGTAATCAGAAGATGTTCAAAAGATGTGCTTTCCCCTCTTTTGTTGCTGTTCTCAAGGGAAGTGTGAAGGGCTAAGCGTGCTGAGGGTTTTTATTTCTGTGTTAGCACATAGGGCTGGCAAAGCTTAGTCTGCAAAATGCAGCTATAAGACATGCAGACCTACTTGAAATATTGCCATCTTAAGTTGTAGTCAGGACACTCTGAGAGAAGCTTTTTAATCCAGACGTAGAGCATTAAACGTGACACAGGCAGACTGATGGGCTATAAGTAAACCTAAGCAATATTAACATAGCTCAAAATTTAACTGTTAGTTCACACTTTGACTGCGTATTATAAAAATGTATTTTCACTTACAGCCCCCAGTGTCCATTCAATCCATCGTGGTGCAAGTCCAGTGCGTTAACAAAAAGGTTGGCACCATTATCAACCACGAAGTACGGATTGTGGTGAGAGACAGGAACGATAACTCCCCTCGGTTCCAGCAGCAGCGATACTACGTGGCGGTAAATGAGGTCAGAATCACTCTTTTTTGTTTTTGTAATGTTTCCTGTGATACCATTGCTAAATGCCAGCTTTTGGTTCTTTCACTTTGCGTTTGAAAACATGGTCAATTCAGTTGTTTTAAAATCCCTTCCATTTCTGTCACCTTGGGAAAACGCAGCACGGACGGTATACTCCAGTTTCTGGCACGTAAGCTGTTCTTCCTGTTCCTCAATGAATAAAAAGACAAGCACACTTTTCATCAGGATGCTTGGACTAGTGCAGAAACCACTAGAATCTGGAGCTATGTCTCAGTGGTAGAGACACTGATTTCTGTTAAATGTACAAGATGTTTTATGGCATTACGCAATTGTATCTACAAATCTGGAAGTAAAACAAAAGCATTTATGAAAAAAAAAGGTAAAGCAAATAGTTTAAAAGGTCTGATAAACAATATTGAAACTTGCCAAAATGCAGTTTTGGTTTATTGCTTTTTCTCTTTATTAAGTGTTGTCTGCAAACGGAATTCTTTTGCTTTATTTTTTTTTTAATGGAGTGGAGAGCTGTGGATTGGACTTCTCCATATTATTTGAAGGAAAAAAAATATTTCTCTCTTGAGCTGGTACAACTTCATTTCACTTTACAATTCGGTTTTCCTATTCTATTAGGGACTGAATAATCTGCTAATAACCAGTACAAAGGCTGTGTGTTTTCAGTAAGTTAGTATCCTGGGGCTTTACTGATATGTATGGAAAGTAGGAACTTACATGCAGAGGTGGAGATTTCCAGACTAAAACTAAGAGGCAAACGGAAAGATGGGTCAGTCTGCAGGTAAAGGTGGAAGAGTTACAGTTGCATTTAAGAAAATAAATCTTACGTATGTGGTGTGCATTGTGTCCCTGGTCGGTTTTGGTTTGGGTGGGGATTTTTCTGTGGAAGAGCATGGCGGCTTTTATGTTGATTGATTTTAGTAGAATTGATTTGCCATTTAAAACAAAAAAACTCTCATAGCTTTTTGTCTTTGGGTCGCTCAGCTTTTCAATGTGTCTGCGTATTGTAACAATCAGTGCATTGCTTTCAGTGACCAAGCGTGTAGTGATGTGCAGGATGTCCCATAGGGCCCAGGAAAGAGTGGGAGAGTTGGTTGATGAGTTTAGGTCTAATTAAGCCAAAAGTATGGAGGAAAAAACCCACAAACCCCACACATTACTTTTGAGTAGAGACCTGCAATTGAGATAAGGATATGCAAGTTCTCCAAACTTACTGGTCTGCTGACCAGTGACACCTTTTAAATTGAGATTGTTTCCCTTTGGACAAATTTTTGACAATGGATCTGCTGATGTTTCTTACCACCAGAGTTCAGAGGTCACAAAATACCATTTGTACATGTACCAGTAAAGTCCTCCCTATACTTTTAAATTGTTTTCAAGTTGATTTTTATGTGGTAACTGTAATTACTATGTTTTTGCAAATCTGTTGCGGACGTGCTTCTGGCCTTCAATAAAGGCAACATAAATGTTAGTCTGAAGTGCCTGTGCGTGCTGTGATACAGGTCCCAAAAGACTTCCAAAACTTGCATAATTTTTCAGGTAAAACTGAAGCCAGGTAGTATCAGTGCTATAATACTAAGGAAGGAAGGGTTTTCCATAATAACAACGAATTCCAAAGACAAAGAGAAAAATGCGGCATCTAAAATTACTTCTATTCAGAAATTTAGCAGTGTTCCAAGTACATGCAGTTGTTTATTTGCATTACTATTGGGCAAAATGCAGTGTTGCACTTTCCATGAGTTTTAGTCCTGATTTAATTAGCTGCTTTGTTTCATTATGCTTATAGCTTCTGACATGGCACCACCAGGCCTTTCAGCATTACCCAGTGGGTTAATGCTCTCGTTAATTAACCAGAAAAAGGTTCACAAAGCATCTCAGACTTTCTCAAAGGTTTTAGTGAGTAATTACATTTTTTAATGATAGCTTATTCTGCTAGTAATTGGCACTGCCTCTAGTGAATTTAACTACAGGAAAGCACTGGAATGAAGGTTTTGTGGTTATTTCTTTGATTGCCTCTGCTCTTCTCCTTTTAGTTTGCTTGTAAACTAAAAAGTACAAAAATCTTTCTTGTGTAAGTAACATAAAGCAAAGCGAAGGGCAAGTATTATTTATTATTTACAGCTACCACACATGTGAGCATTACAAATATCTCGTATATTTTCTAGCCAGGAAATTTAGTCTGTGTCAATTTGAGGACTGATTTGGTCAGGCGCTTCACAGGGTTATACTTGGTGGTTTCTCCTCTCAGCTGCTGTTCCCCTCTCTGGCTGTCCTGTGTGGGATGAAAACACATGGACTGTGGCTTGATAACCACACTACGGTCACTTCTGCTCGTACAAAACATCAGGTAGACTTTCCACACATACTACACAATCCATCTGCACATATACAGTACGCGCTGATTTACAGCTCCTGTGCTACCCAGCTTAATAGTGTGTGCGCTTTGTAGGTGTGGCATTGCCCATAAGCATCGCAGTTCCTGTATTCACCTACTGTAAGGACAGATATCCTGGGCAAATATCTCTCAGCCTTGCAATTAGCCCCAGATGTTTTTTAGGGGCTGAAGTTTAGGGCAAAGATTTTCCCAAACAGTCAAAACTGTTATTTCCTTTGTTGTTTTTTTTTGTGTGTGTGTTATGTATTTTTATTCATATGAAAACCTCACATCATTATTCATTTAGAAATAAATCCTGACAAGATGACATTAGCCTGGGGCTAGATTTGACCATGCGTGTTGGTGACTTAAAAATATGAGTTACTGCACTATATTGAAACAAAGCTCTGTAGCTAGGTTGAAATTCCGAAGAATTATGCAACTCAGTTAATGCTCTACAGGAAAATCTATAGTATTGCCACAGGGATTTTAAAGACATTTAACCTAATACAGGAACTAGAGACTAAACTAAAGTACTAATAAGGCAGAATTGTTGTCTGTGTTTTGTGTTGAACACACCTTAGCAAATTTTATCTCAGGTAATACAACTTAATTCTGCATTGCCTGGGTATTATAAGACTGGCTTTTTAAAAAATAACTTTTCACATAAGCCTTACCTGAGTACTAGAAAGGTGTTGGTAAGCTCAGGAGCATTTAATAGCGGGGTTTTTTTGGAAGTGGTGGTAAAGTTTCTAGAATAGTGTTTGAAGTCAGTGTTAATTTATTAAGCATACTTAACCTTACAGCTAATGAGAATTTTCTGCTTGTAAATCAGAATTTTGGAGTTGGTTTGTTTTTTGGGGTTCTTTAGTTTGTTTTGGGTTCTTTTTTTGCCTCCTAAAGTTGGAGGAGATAGAAATCCTTTGCAAAATGAGTGTGTTTTGTGAACTTCAGTCATCTTAAAACTTTGGCTTTGGGCTGTCGAGAATTATAACTTGTGCTGAATTTTCATTGTTTCTGGTGTAATTATTCATATCTTTTTCCTTGTGGTATTGAAATAATTAATCTCTGCAGGTAGACATCATCAAAAGAATATTAGCTCAGAATGATTAACTGTAAGTCTTACTTTGCTGTTTGTGGCCCCTGTGAAAAATTATTCATTTTTAATTTCATAAATAGGCAATAATAGGAACATTTATTTTCAAAACGTTTTATGGAAGTGCTGAATGTTCCTGTCTGCAGCTAGACTTCTAATAGATGTAAATCATGTTGAAGGAAAGTTTTAAGTATTCCAGCTGTTGACCGTGAAAGAGTAAGATTTATTGTATGCGTTTCCACTCTCTTTGTTTAATTGCATTCTTCTGAGATCTTACTTCTTTCTTGTCATCGCGGCTCTTTTTCACCACGTTGAATTCCCACAGAGGTTATTACCTTCAAACTGTCACTGACACGCATACTATTGTTTTTTTGCTTGGCAATTCCTAACATTTTATCTTCCATGAGGTAAAACGCTCAGTGTGGTCAAACGGTTTGCTACATAACTTCAGTCTCCTTCCATGGGAGATACTGAAGTTTAACACGAAGAAACAAAATTCCTCCAAGGAGTTCTCTGGAGCAGGTGTATCTGGTGGAAAGGAGACAAGTGGGGCTTCATAGACAGCTCAAGCAATGAGAACTCCAGAAATGGAGCCATTTTTCTGTCCTTCTGAGAGGTAGCAAAGTAAAGGAGCTGAGAACCCCTCTGCAGACATGTTTCCACCTTTCTTATCTCTCGGAAGATTTCATGGTGGTAGATTTGTCAGTTAACTGAGTTGAAAACTGGGAAAATGGATGCTGTGCAGAATGCCTCTGTTACAGGTTGACATACCAGTGGTGGAGGTGTTTTGAGCTCTAGATAAATCTTTACTGTCTAGAGACTGTGTCCATCTACTAAAGAATAACTTTTATAACTTGTTTGAGAAATCGTTTATTACACACTCTATAGTAAAAAACCATCTTGGGGTTCCACTTTTTGCCAATGCCAAAAATCTGATTAACCAGTTTGTTCTGCTTGCACATGCATGTATTGAAATGGCATGCCCATTTTATCTCTGTGTGAGATCAAACCAGTTTTTCCACCTGCTCTTTTAGCTTTTTATATGTTTTAGATACCTCCATAATTCTTGCTCGGAAAAATGTGTCTTTCATTCCCATGTTACTCATCTTTCTCATGAGAGATGCAGTTCCTTGTGAGCTGTTCACATGAGTAATCCTTATTTAAAAAAGAACAGTGGGGTTATTGATGTTGATAAAGAGCAGTAATATAGTAATGTAACTATATATTATTATATATAGTCACATTTTATAAGGTGAACTGAGTTCCTCTTTATTGTTCCAACAATAAAGTGAATGGTGACAACAGCCTGTGAGAAAGCCCTCATCATCTGTGGGTCATGGTGATATTGCTGGCTAATGGTAAATCACCACAATGGTGAGATCTCAGTGTAAAAATATTGTGTAGCTTTGAAAGCTGAGTGGCTCTCTGAAATGATTAGAAGTGGAGTTTGAGACATTTGGTGAAGAGCTCATCTGAATTTGAGCTGCGGTAATCTCTGATGTGAGATCTTGGGCAGGCTGGAAAGTTGAGTGAAATGAGTTAATTTTTTCCTAACTTTCAGGATGAGGGATTGGCAGGGGATTGTTTTCGGTGTCCTTTCCAATATCATTTGTGTAACAAAGAAAATGTAGAAAATAGAAACCTGTGTATTAGGTTCACAAAGGCCTGAACATCTGCAGTCAGTTATTTTGGATGTAACACACTAAGTCCAAGACTTTAGCTTTTGACTTTTACTGTAAGAGCATGCAATTGTAATTCTGGTGTTTACTGCTATTTCATTTTTACAACCATCTCCTTTGTTATCGCTAAATTATGTGCTTTACAGTGCTGGAGACTTTTTATGTTAGCCATCCTTTATCTTTATCCTGTCAGGGCCCCCATGCCAGCTGCTCTGGATGAAACAAGAGCAAATAACTATTGCTGAGCAGAGCTGCTGGCTGAATTCAACAGAAAGCAAGCATTTCTGTGCTTCTGAAAAGCAACATGGCTCTTGGCGTCCTTCAGCTGGGAGCAGTTGTGCAGATCAAGCCCTTCCTCAGCCTCTGGACAGCCATGGGGCTCTACTCAGTTTGGGCGGTGGAGGGAACTCAGTTTTGTCCTGTTTGACTGTAGAGGCCTGTTTTTCCCAGTCTTGTTTGGGATGTGCTACTAGCACCTCCGTGGGTGTCTGTGCTCTCAGGCTGTCCTGATGCGACAGGGTTTTGTTGATAGAGATCCGTTATGTGATTTCCAGCAGTAACTTCTCCCTTTTTTGAGGGCACGCTGGTGTGGCAGCCGTGTTGAGCTGGGAGCGCTCCATTGCAGCAAGCGCTGAGTATCGTGCAGGCAGGCATAGAGGCACAGTTAATGAGCATGGTGTTTGACAGCGTGTTCCCTGCCCCACTTTCCAGCCTGCTACGTGTGTGGTGTCTTCAAAGCTGCTCTCTGCTTCTTCTGGCAGTACTATGGCTTTGTACAGTTTTGACAGCAGAAGCATGGGAGATTTTCATCACTTGCCAACCCCTGACAAGCCAGCGCGGTGCCCAGCTTTTCCCACTAATGAGACTGTGTCATTTAACCAACAATTGATTGGTTAAACCATTTTATTGTTTTACTGGGTGTCTGTGCCCAGGTGGGGGTTGAGGGGTCTCTGTAAGGAGAGGCTGAGGCTGCCTCAGCCCAGCCCCTCAGCCAGGTCGACGGTGCCGCAGGGAAATGGATTCAAGAAAGGGGAAAACGCCGCCTGGCAGCAAGGTGTGAGGAAGGCATTGTGAGAAGGAAAGGAATCAGGATTGAAGGACTAAAGCTGAGACTTGGGAAAAGGGATGGGATAGGGGAAGATGCTGGTTTGTCTCTGTCACCATCCAAATATATGTTCAATTGGCAGTATGTTAAATTAATTTTTCCCAAGTTGGCTCTGTTCTGCCTGTGAGGGTAATGAGTAAGTGATCTACATGTTTCGACCTCTGAGCTTGTCTATCTGATTTTTGTCCCCTGTGATGCTGAGGATGGGGCTGACAGGGCACCTGGGTGTGTGTCTGGTGGTCAAGACCAGCCTGCCATTAGTGGGGGGGAGGGGGTGGGTGGAAAAAACACAGCAAAGAAAACACAAATCTTCCTGTGAATATTCCAAACTGGTTCTCAGGTTGCTCTGTTCTCCTGTCCCCTGTCAAACACGACAAAACCCCTTCTCCTCTACACACACATTTTGCCATTAACCAGTAAGCTTTCTTGGTTTATGAAGGTTGACTCTGATCTTTTATACTGTCAGGCAAAGCTCATGTTTCTGAGGTGTGATTGCTCTCCTGAATTCCTGAAAGACTGGTGCTGTACCACAGGCAGAGACTCTCTGTGAGGTAATTATCTCGCAATTAGTAGGCATGAGGGAACAGTCAACTTCCTACACCCACATGTGACACTTCTACTATCTATGCCAATAGTAAGCAAGTCAAGTTTGCAGCAAAACAAATATATATAGCTATTCTGGAATAAGTGTAGATAATGTGGATAAGTAAGCTCCACCTGTTTTACCATAAAAAAGGCTTTGAATTGGTGCCTTTTATTTCAAAGATTCTTTATTCTCAGCCCTGAAAATATTTCTCAGAGAACTCTGTCAGCCATTAAATTACTCTTGAAGTAATTAGCAGCTTTATAAATACAAATTGACAAGAAGTTATGACTGTTGGAGGAAATGGACAGTTTATTATTTGCTTTATGGTGTGAACTACAAAATATGAAAGTAAAATAGCATCCACGTTTGCAACAAATGTTTGAATGACTCCTTGTCCTTTTTCCACCTTTTCTTTTTACAGCATTTCAAGCCTTTTTAGACCTTATAAGTTTAAAGATACGTGATAACTTAACTTAAAATTTAGAGGAAAGAAGAGGGATCAGTGGATCTCTGTGAATTGAAAGGCCAAAAATTTGGGTGTGATGAGAGCAGCAGTGGGAGGCATGGCTAGGAGCAATGTCTGTGTTGAATCCAGAATTGTTTGTTCAGTTGTTTTTCTCTTTTGGGTTGATTATTCACAAGGTTTTCTGAAAATTAAAATCCAGAAACTGGCTTCTTAGTCAGTTGGACTTCTGTCCTTGATCTCAATAGGTCTTGATTTCATGCTGTTTGTCTACATTAAGATAATTGTAAATTGATTCATTTTCAAAATATAATTTTATGCCTGTTTAGTTACTGCCAACCAAATACTGGAGAAACAGCATCATTCTTGTGTTTGTTTAAAGCCATAAAGCTTTCTGGGTGTCTGTGTTTGCATGTAGTAATACTTATCTGGTGCTATTCATATTGTCATGAAGACACTGTTAAATAAGTTCTGTTTACTTTTGGAGCTCATTTTCTTTTCCTTCCTGAGTCTGAACAAGTAACTTTTTTATATTTTTCAATCTATTTATATTTATTTCAAGAGTCTTTTCATTTCTAAAACTTTTTTTTTCATCTTCATCTTTTTAAAATCAAGTGATGTTCTGTCTTGATGCACTCTGTGGAATAAAAATGGAAACTGGCTTCACTCTCCCTGTGATGCTTGGGATCAGTTAAAGTATGGTCTGAGTGCATTGTGCCCAAATAGTTGCCTTGTACATGAGGTTTCAAGCCAAGCAAAGAGGAAGAGAAAATGTCAACCTTGCATTATAGACCAGAACTGTGGGGAGGGAGGGCAAAAGCTTTGCAGGCAATTCTTTAATTGCTTCTTGTATACCTTAAGGTTTTAATGGATATTTTGTCTGTCTCGGTTCTTGCAGTTAACTCCAGTTGGAACAACCATCTTTACAGGATTTTCTGGAAACAATGGTGCTACTGACATTGATGATGGTCCAAATGGCCAAATAGAATATGTCATCCAGTACAATCCTAATGACAAGGTAATATTCAAGACTATGGGCCAATAAATGTTCTAAATTGTGAAGACTGCTATACAAAAGCATTTTGTCTCTGTTTTGAAGTGAGAGGAGAACCAGTTTTGTTCTCGTGGTATAAGCAGGTGACAAAGCAGTGTCTTGGTATTCCTGATATCCGACATGCTCTGGCTCATCTCAGTATTGGAGGGAAGTGCAACTAAGACGCAGTGGTGTTGAGACTCAAACTTAGGTCTGGAAGTTAAGCTTTAGATCACCACTGGACAGTTGCGTTTCTGTGCTGTGTTGGAGCAAGAGGGGACTCCAGATATAGGCAGTTTGGGAGAAGTCGAAGTTTTTTGCTGAAATTGTGCTGATCTTTCCTAGCAGTTTAGATTGTACAGTTCCACCTAAAAGCATCCGTATGCAAAGATCTGCCAAGGAAAAGGCAGTTATTTTGAGAGTACCGTGGCTGATTCTCAGCTGCAGTGTCTTTTCCAGCTTGTTCTGGCCTTTTAAACCAGACATGAATGGGCTAAGTGCAGTTAGAGGAATCTTCCCCATGAATTAGAAATGGTACATATTTATCTATGTGCCCGTGCATGGCATCATCTTGTACAGTAGTAGATATCTCCCATTAGTTGCATAGTTCACAACCTGCTTCCTTATTCATATGAATACTGTTAAAAGAAAGGAAGGAAGGGGCAAAAGCAGTGAACCCTGGTTGGTTCTTCCCTCTTCCAACAATAACTTTCTGTTCTAGTTTCCTATTTTACCTCAGTATAAATATTTTAATTTATTTTTTTTTGTGGGAACTATGTATTTTTTTATCCAAAAAGATGAGTGCCAAACTCAGACACAAGCAAAAAAAGTGTGTCTGGTTATGTGGCAGAATCTGTGATGTAACTTCCAATCCTGTTTTCCTGCACGCCACAAATATCTGCAACCTGGTGAATTTAGCAATCGTTATCATTTATTTGCCGAAAAACAAACTGAAATTTAAACAGATGTTTCAAATTCTGGAGGAAAAAAGTTCTTGTTATGTTATCTAAGTAAAGAAAAGCACTATGTATCTCTGCATTCTTTTCTGTGGGGAAATTTTGTAACATATTGCTATTACACGTTCAACACATTTAATTATATTCTACGTAGATTGAAGCATGGGAAGATTTTTTAAAAATGTGATTAATTTGATAATGGAACTGGAACTAATTCTTATATCTGAAACCTGTCTCTCAGTGCCTGTAATCCTCCTCCCAAAATGGGTCATTAGTCAAAATGAGGATGTGCACACACTAGCAGTGCCTTCCTGCCTTTCTATGCCACAGCTTTATAATTTGAATCTGTTTAAGCAAA